GCACTGTAGAGTCCAACCAAGTCAAGGTAACTCGGGGATGGTTGTTCTTAATCCAGCTGAATGACCCAATAAAATTTAAACAATTTGAAAACCCAAATCCCCAATCAAAATCATTTCTTCCTCTGACAAAGTTTTGTGCAGTGGTAATAAAATGCCAACCCTGGCTTTGTTTAAGCTTAGTTGAAATTAATTTAAGCGGACAGTTTATTAAATAAGAGTTTTCATAGGGACTGCATGCTCGGGTATTAAAATGAGATCTTAACCACCTCATCTCTATGTCATTTTAAAAACGTGCTACAACTTACTCTAATACTCGGAAGTTTACATTCACAGGCGAAAAAAAGCACTGAAAAAATACTGGGAACACAGAAACTGCCAGAGTACAGTAACCGAGCCCTTTGAGCGCAATCATTGACGCAAGAAGATCAGGGAAAGAAATTCTTCAAGCAAAACCTTATCATCGCATTTGTTAAAAAGCTCCCGCCTTGAACTGTCTTTTGAACACGAATCTCATGGCATCTAATTTGAAGGTGGATGTTGTGGAAACAGAAACTCATTTATCTCGTAAAGGTCTCCACCGGCCATGACTCCATCTGTTACAAATCATTTCTGGCCTTTGCTACTTTTTGCACTTATAATTACTGTACATTCAGTCCCTACAGAATAATCTATTTGCGGGCGGGCCGGGGTGGGTGGGCTTGCACTCGTCCGCGAATATTCCCCGCATTTACCTTTTAGTATAATTTACTAATATCGGAATCTTTTATTTCCCTTTTTGTCTTAAAATAATTAAGGGGTGGGAGTAAGAAGCCTGAATTATTGACCGGCAACATTAATGAAATGAAAAACCATTGAAAACATAAAAATAATAATGAGTTTAGCGATTCAAAAGACCACTGACATTCACATTGAAAGAAGTAATCAATAGTAATACAGCTTTCTCATTTTAGTGCTACCCTTGCATGAAATTGCGTATCCCGTGCTTAATGACAATTGAGCCTCTAGGTTTTCTCATTTATACTAGAACCGAATTTTAATGAAATTTAAGAGTGAAATTTACACTTACTTTCACATTGTAATGTGACCTTACTTCTTTCTGAACTGTAGATAAAACAGTCTTTTGCAGGTCTCTAGCTCTGTCGTTATATAATTGTACCTTGCACTGTTCTTATGGAGACTCCCTATGTTGAAAGCGGGATGCAGTAGAAACAGGCCGCAGAAAAATCATTCTTTCTAATGCTTTAATATTTCACGTGACTCTCACATCACCTCTCTGTTAGCGGAAGTCTTCTGCATTCATTTCCACCTACAATATCATAAAGGCAATAACAAAAGTAATGATAATCCTTGCACCATTTTTAATCATTATTTTCATTTCAACTGTTTGGTTATATAATGTCAATAAAGTGCTTGTGATATGTCCGCTCAAGAAATGGTTGTTGTGTTGTTTTTTATTCCAACGGGACACCGTTTCGAGGGCTTAATTGCAGATGTTTCTTCAACCAAAGAAACCTAAAGAAGCCTTTGACTAGACATATGTAAATTTCCGCACAGGTCTAGTTGTGGAGAGGGAGAGCCAGCATAATAGCGCAATCAACAGCAGTTAATTAAAAGTTGATTACCAGCTTTCTCTCTATTTAAACTAGATACACTGACTGGAAAAAAAAACAACAAACAAACGAAAAACATTGACTTAAGTCATTTTATTAAAAAGGAAGATCAAGGCCAATCCTTTATCTGAGTAGAGTGTGGAACGATACAATACACAATCTGTGCGTCTGAATTCCCCTTTTATCGAGATCCAAAGCCGAACATCTGCTCGAAGTATATCAGAAGTGCGGGCCACCTGAATGAAGTATCATTTACAAGCCTTACAAAGGGCGTTTTAAGATATATATCTACATAATACTAGCTGTGATCTGGGATTAGTTTAGTAAGGGCGATCGAATGCTTACCATTGGGACTGCGGTTGCCGATGAGTGTCATTAAAGTGGGGAAGCGTGCAAGATTCAGTGAACTATGCAATATGGGAACGAGTTTAATCAAGGGGGTGAAGAAATCGCGAGGTATCAGCGCAATATCTTCAATACTTTTGTAGCTGTTTTGCTAAATATAACCTGAGTAAATAAAAGAACGTTCTTTAAATAATAAGGCAAAATGTTACAGAGAGAAATACTTTTCAACACCAACAATTTCTTGAAAGTTACCGGATCCCTTCGTCAGGATGGTGGATGGCTATGCAACTTTCAAGAAATTATTCTTCCAAGTAAAATATCCATTTTAATTCCCCAAACGAACTGAAAGCAACACAGCATTTTTAAAATAGCTATTACCCTGCATAATGAAATAATTGTTCTTTTAGCTGAACACGCATCACAATCCTGCGATTTCCCACAGTTGCTTTCTACTGACCTGTCGATTACTTGCTTTAGTTCTTCTCTCTAACAGTATATCCAGCTGATTTTTGTTTCGTCAACTGTATATGTAAATTATCCGAACCGAGTGCTATCAATATCCGTGTGCGCCAGCGTTTGTAAACACGCGTTTTCTCTGAAGCGCTCGGTCAAAGACATCGGGACTCGAAGAAACGACGGGCCATGGGAACAACACAACGCATTTCAGTTGTTGGTATAATTGTACGTGGCCAGAGGCTTCTCGCGCGTTGAGTTCAAGTTGCGTTCTCCTGACGTTGAACGCAAGGAACGTTGGTTTTTCGGGTGACGTGTAATTCTACAGACAAGGTAATATAAGTAATGGCATAACTTTTCTTTTATTATTAGTTTTAAAATGCGTTCACTTCAACCAAAATTTATTTCTTAAGGGAGACTTCAGTTATCTATTAAAGACCTTAACACATTTTATTCATTCCTGTCCACTTAGACCCCCACCCCTCCCCGCCCAAAAAAGATGCTTTCTGCAATTCTGAGAGCTAAGATCTGTTACCCAAACCAGACATACCACTGAAGAAGAGCAAATTAAGTTAAATATTAGACAGGTAAAATATAATTTATGTAAGCTAATCTATATTGCAAAAAATACTTCGCCTTTCGCTCAAAATGTCCGTTACGTTGTTGGCACTACTTTTTAAGGGCCATTAATTATTCTCTAGAATTCCACTCACATCTTCCGAAATCCGGAATTTGTGAGTATTTTCCGGTGTTAAACAGCTGACAAAATGTATTCCTATGTGTTTAACGTATTCAAAGATATGATCTATCTTATTTAGTAATACGTACGTTTTATTGGATGCATACATACCTCAGTGTTTTGAAATAGAGATTTGCTAGCTTTAGGGTGTTTTAACAACTCTTTCTTGCAAAGAATAAATAAAACTAATCTCTGAAACTTTGTTCAGTGTGTACTTTCATTTAAGCGCTTATATAATAAGAGGATGTGCGATATAAAGACGTATTTACCGAAGAAGAGATTGTTCTTATGATAAGCGCCGCCTCCTAACTCTTCTCAAAAATCGTTGTTACATCCGTTAAACGGCAAGAAACTAAGGAGTTAAATTTAACTGTAAATGTTCAACTAAAACATCGACAGCCAATGTTAACTATCATGTAAGTAATTCTAGGATACCATTATTGGAGAACGCAAATTTCAATATCAGAGTGCAGATACCAGACAGTACAAAGAGGATAAGACAAGGAACGCAACTGCTGTAATTATCGCGATAGCTTATCTCTAAAAAAAACCGCTTTTTTGTTCTATTGATCGAGGCAATGCCATGGAGTTTATTCATGACAAAAACAAAGATAGTAATGATCTCTTTCAGATTGTTATGGGAACTTTACATATCGTAACACCTGTGTAGAAAAATTATAATCATGGTTATAATTAATAAAGGGGAAGGAACAACAAATTGTATTCAGTAGGAAACGGCCAGGCTGGAGGCTTAGCAAAAATTGGAATTCTCATCAAAGGTAACCTTTTGTTTTCTATTTTTCTTTACTTTTTTGTTATCCCCTTTAAAGGACGGTCTCTTATGATCTTCGTGTAGGTTAACGCCACTTGAAATAAAACCAAACTGATTCCTTTGCAAATTTACCGATCTGTAGATTGGAACCTAAGGGGACCTAAGTAACCATTAGAATAATGTAACTACATTCATTATCGGAACTTTTTTTTTCAAAGCTAGTTTTGTTGACTCCTACTCACCGCAAATTTGGCCAATTCGCAGTTCACTTTCCAAGTAAGCAGCCATGAAGAATATTACACTTAAATCAAGGAGCAATTCAGTAAAATATAAAGCAAATATACAGCTGTAGCATGGTGTTATGTACATAAAATGTTGGATCAACTAAAACTTCTGTCTACTGAACTTAATATATCACTTCGAACGCTCTTCCAAAATTAAAAACCATTCTTTTTTTTCTTTAAGTCAAGTTCGCAATTTTTCTTGTTGCCAGTCTGCATGTAAATATATTTACTCCCACGTATTTAAAGTGTAAAGATTTGTTTTACACGTTAAAACAATTTGCTAGTTAACAACTTAACTAAATTTCTCCAGGTGTACTTGAATGTGCTGGCATCAAAGACCTCTTCGAAATAGAAAATACTTGAAGATAACATGTTTCTTAAACATTTGTTCATGTAATATCTCTGACAGGAAAAAAAACAGTCCTTCTAGTTATCTCGTCGTCTCTCTCTTTCTTTTTACAGAATGGGGGAGATATATTCTTGGAAATTGGTCTTCCTTGTCTTGCTCATTGATGAAGGTAGAGTTAATATTTAAGACAAGGTAGTCACTTTTTACCAAAAACTTAGCCAGCAGTATCAAAACAAGTTAAAATCGGTTAATGTCATGTTTCTTTCATGTTATATGTTATATATTACTTTATCCTGGGAGACAGTAAAATCAGGAACAATTCTGCAAAAGGTAGGCCATTAGACTTATATCTGATCAGATTCTAAGCAAGGCTTACGCTGCAAGTACGAATGTCATCAAGACTACTCTAACTGCCGTCGTCTTTCAATTAATTTAAAAGAAATCTGGAATGCTGCACCATCATATGGTCGTGAGAGAATTGGAGCAATTCTTTGGAACTGATGATCCGTCACAAGGTATTACTGATACAGCTGAATTTACTACTAATGATCGCTCTGATAGCCTCTGTCAAGATAGTAAATGAACTCAAGATAGTTTTTTCTATTCCAGACTTAACTGAAATGTTAACATCCACACTAGTGAAGGATTGTATGGAAATTTTACCATGCCATGGGCTAAGCCAAGCAACCAAGCAAAACTATTAAGTCATTAAGAGAAACATGTGACCCAGTTATGCATGCGAACTAGCTTCTGTCAAGCGTATCAGGAAAATTAAAGTTGGTCAAGAATAAAGGTGGACAACTAAAACGCTAAAACTGGATGGCTGGAAAACGTTTTTTTTTTGTCTACTTTGACAAAGTAACTTCAATCGTCTTTTCAATCGAATTAAAGGACGCTATTTGGATTGAGTAAAACATAAAAATAGCCACGTTGCCCTAAAAATGTTTAAAAGAAGGTATAATACCAGAGTACTGACACAAAAGAAGGCACGGATGGACAAAGTTCATGAGTTTTTAAATTAATTGGTTTTTGTAACCTTTATAGCTAACAAATATTCGATTCAGTTTTGTTGCATGTAACAATTGGTACATTTGATGCCAGGGAGGCTTTGTTTGACACGAACTTTTGACAATGACTTATAGTCTCTTTAAATAGTTTACGATGTCGAGGGGCAGTATGGGCACAGTAATGCTGACTCTATAAGAAGGGTGGACTTAGGGGTGGGCCCAGTGGGCCCCGGGACCCCCCTTTTATCCAGGAATTGTTTTCTTTTGTAAACTTGTGTCGGATGGTACTTCGAGCTTTGTTACTTAAATATATTTTCTTTAATGAACATTGTTAATAAGAAAATTTATCGAACGATGTCTTTGCCGGGAGGTTTTGCTCTCGCCGCAATCGGCTAATCGGCCCCTTGCGAGCATCATAAAGTGTTTTAAAATTACTTCTTTGACCACAGCCACACCCGTGCTTTATTAAATATTTCTGCATTACATGTTCAATATCGATCCAGCCATTTGCTAAATTTAAGCGTCCAGAATGTACTAGATTGCATCTCAGAGAACTTCAATCTCAAAAATTTTCCCGAAGGAGCACGCACCGTTCGCAGGCCTGATGGGCGCTATCGCGCCCATATTGGCACTGTATACTACAGTCAACTCTTTCTAAGTCCGACACCTTTAGGGCCGGTACTAAGTGTCCGTCTAAGAGAGATGTCCGTCTTATAGAGAGTCAAATAAAGGGAGTAAAGAAAGGCAGGGACCAACTCTAGGTGTCCGTTTTACAGAGGTGTCCGTCTTATAGAGGTGTCCGTTAAGAGAGAGTCGACTGTATATCTCTAGGCCTCCTCTTTCACAAAATCCTCCATCCGCCCCTGTATGAGATCATCGTATAACGTCAGTTCACTAGTTTTTGAAGGAAATTGTATTTTCTCGTTTTGTTCATCCCATTAGTCCCTGAGTACGACATAACCGAGCCCTTTGAAACAGATCATCGACACAGGAGGAACCTTAATGGCGACGATCAGAAAACGAAGTTCTACAAGCTCAAGGCATTTGGTGAAGAGCTCCCCCTTGAACTGTCTTTGAACAAGAATCTCATGGCATCTGATTTGAAGGTGGAAGTTATGGGTAGCAATGGAGCTTCTGTGTTTCAACCAGCTCCTAGAAACTCATTTTATCTAGGAAAGGTCTCCTCCGACCCTGACTCCATGGTAGCTGTAAGCGACGCTGGAGGGCTGGTGAGGACCTATTTTCCTTTTTTCACCTCTGGTCTTTGCTTATTTTCCTGCATCCATCATTAAATTTCAAGCACTTTATGGCTTTAACGAGAACAAAAGCAGAAATGAGAATTAATAATTAAGCTCACGAACGTTGACATATTTTTTGTCTGAATGAGCACATTTAGAATTTCAATCAATTGTGGTTTTGCAAGTACACAAAGTGCGTCAATATTCGAGTGAAATACTTTGAATGAAGGGCAAGGTATTACTTTAAGCACCCTGCAATTAGATTTTAGTCCCTAGAATATAATTATTTATGGGTTGGTTAACTGCAGTTTGATAGGGCGAGGGACCATCATTAACATCATCAGTAGATCCTGTTGCTGTTTGGAAGACTTATCTCTCAAAGAAAGAGAGAGGGCAATTCCGTTACTAACGTATAAGCATTTGAATGAACCATCCCATTATTGGCCCTCTCAGTATCCTTTGTTTTACATTGCAAAACTCACCTGGATAGGCTACCATGCGTATCCAGGGAGAACCTGAATCATAGAGACTGCAGTGCAAAATTGAAAAATGAATACTAAAATTGACAAAGTAAGCTGAAAAATCGTTCGAAAGGTGTATTGTATATTTAACTGTGAGAAGCTGGTAGCTGCCGTATTGTAATTTCATTGTTACTTTTACTTTTTTAGAACGGGATGGTCAAACGGCCCGATGAACTACTATTTATTCAGCCACTACCCTCCCACCTTGCGAAACACGTCAAGAAAGCAGCAATGAGAAGGCCTCACATTATTGTAAAAAAGCGTTCTGAAACAATCACTTCTCTGGGTGAGTTTGTTTTGTTTTGTCGTGTTGATTAACTTCAAGCCAAAGGTAACGACGTACAGTTACTTTTGCTCATTGAGTTGAGACTCTCTGTATGTCAGGATGCTTAACCGGTAATCACTCGTTTCTTGACCCATTGCATAAAACTTACTGTCGAATAGGCCCAGTCATAAATGAATCGTAAGTTAAAAAAAACTGAGATGTCTTACCTCTCTAATGTAAATAAGAATGACAGCAATTTTCAGCCTCGACTCGAATATTTTTCTTTTCCACTATTTATTAACGTTTTCTGTCTAGCCAAACAAATTTCAGAAAAACGAACCTACCGGTCCACTGAAAGGAGAGACAAAATTTTGGAAGTTGCCATGGTAACGGATGAAATCACATCATTGGCATATCCTGAGTACAACGACACCGCAACAGTTATGCTTATCATTGGAAATATTGTGAGCACTCATTTTCCTTTTTGGATGGCATTTTTTTGACATACATTGTGGTAGTAATTTACTTGGAGTTTTTTTCATTGTGAATCTGAGATGGGTAAATGGAGCTACAGTTAGTTCACCAGTTCGAACCTTTTGCATTTAAAGCGACTGTCTGCATACTCTTTCCTACTATGATCATTACCATTTGCCACGCGTCTTTTGTATTATTTTAATGTCTTTACTCTTTTTAGGTTGCCGGTATTTTCCAAGACCCAAGTGTCGGAGAAATCAAAATCACTTACGTCGTAAAACGTATTACCGTTCTGAATTCAGTGCAAGTGAGTACACGTTTTGGTCCTATTTCAACGGGTCTATACAGCCCACAGCATAAATTTTGCCTAACAGACACCAAAATCCTGCGTCTTTCTTAAAGCAAAGGGACTCGCTTACCGAATTGTCATGTATGCTAATCATTCCAATATTATTACTTAGGTTGGGCTGACTTCTCTTAACACGTATCAAATACTGGAAAAACTTAAGAACTGGGCAGCCAACAACTCCCAATCAGATAATGTCGATGTCACTTCGTATGTTTCCAGGTGAGTTTCTTTTATACACGGTAGGTTGGGCCCAGACAGCCCGTCAAACGTTAGTTTACAGACATCGCCCCTTTCTTTCCAGAGATCAAGAGTTGAAACAACTCCATCTAAATGACGTCTAAGAAATGTTCAAGAAACGTTTTCCGTTCAAGCTCTTAATAAGTTTTATACGAGTATGATCCATCCAGCTTGACCTTATATCTATCCATACGCACCCTGCTAGATTCGCGTTTAGTGAACTGAAATTCTCCGTTGTCTTGCACTGACATTTCGTATTTTACGTTTCATTTGTTCAACGATGAATTTCACGTTCAATTCGCTGTGTTGCTGAGTTTGGTTTTGTGCTTTCCCTGGCTTGAAGACTGTCCTCACTTTCTCTTTCCTCGCTGCTATCGGAGGAGGCTGTTGACTCACTTAAAGCCACATTTGGGGAACTTTCGTTCGATAAATCCGTGAATTTTTCCATGTGTTCCGCCACGGTGTCAAAGATTTCAGTTTCCAAACGCGTTACTGAAGCATACGCATGTATAAGTTGGCATGTTCATTAGCTCTGCATTCTCTAACTGTTTATTGCCAATAAGGCGTGACAAATATAATATTCCGCGAAAAACTGCTTATAATGTAAATAACTCAAAACGGGGAAGGCTTGAATCTAAGGCTTTGTATGGGAGATGGAGGCTCAAATATTCGGCTTCTGACCGATTGAAGTCGTGGCAACTTAAGAAATTTTAAATCTCCCGCTAACAGAGATCTAAAACTCATCCCTGGGATGCATTTCATTTTAATAATTTAAGTTTCCTGTTTTAATTTAAAAAAAAAAAAAACTTTTTCGGTTTATTAATCCTCATTAATTTTATTGATCGATTAACCTTTTGGGCATTTGTTTTTCTTTCTTATAGATTGACTGGGGCTGGTGGTGAGTACTGTCAGATAAGAGTTGTCATGAGATGAACGTAGAAATGGCCAAAATTCAGAAAATTAAAAATTTTACCAATTTTTACCTTACATTTACTCCGAAACAGGTCTAGCTGATCTCGGGGCAATGTGCAAATCGTCTCAAGGAGCATTCAACATAAACAACGAGCTGGGGCTACAGTCTGCTGGAACAATCGCTCACGAGATTGGTCACAAGTAGGTCAACAATACCCTAAAGAAATAACTATAGATAATTCTTAAATGCTAACTTTAAGAATGTCGTAAATCCCGAAGAGGTCTTGCTCAGATCAGTTGATCAAAATGGAGGCCCTGCCAGGGTAAATTCCGACAAGCGACATGGCCCAGAACGAAGCGACAGCGCGTAAGATGAAATCGCGACAAGAGACAACCTCCTCACAACCTCGTCCCCAGGGCTTTCCCTTCACCCAATTTTTAAGGGAAAAGCCCTGGGGACGAGGTTGCCTCACAAGCATTTATAAACACCGAGACGAGACGTTTTAAAATTCAGACGGCCGAAATGGACTCTTCCCCCCCCCGGCAGGGCCTCAAAATTTATCCCTCTTCTTTTGTTTTTGAAGTTTTGGTCTTGCCCATGATGGTGACAACAACCCGTGTCCTGCAGGGGCGTATATTATGTCGGCAGTCCTCCCTGGAGGTGTTGATGCATTAAAATGGTCGACTTGTAGTAAAGAGAAACTTCAAGAATTTCTCAGGTATTGACTTCATAATGTTCTGTGATAACTTACAAACAATGAAAGTGCGCTGCTAAAAGATCTGGCATGTGTAATCTAATCCACTACTCCTTGACGGACTTTGCGTTTTGAGTGGAAATTTTTTTAAATGCTTAAGTTTCACGTTTAAATTTTCCAGTGCAGTCTTGATATAAAAGCAAGAGTTTCTATTTCTATATTATTATATTTTTGTTTGTTTTAAAAATCACTTTATTCACGTAGACCATAACACACCTTATTTAACCTCTCCCCCAACAACAAAAAAAAAAGAAATGGTGTAACCATGTTTTCCAATTTCTCTTGGATATTACAGCCGTCCCAAGAGAAATTGAGGACAATGGTTATATAAATTTGTTGGTGAATAAACAAGGTGTATAGACCAGCCATCCCGCATTCCTGAAAACAAAGACATCAAGTCGAGGCTCGGGTAGACAAAACACGGTGATTTGTATGAAACTGTCCACCCAAGCCTCGACCTCGTTCATTTTGTTTGTGTTTGCTCACAGGAACAGAATGCGGGAAAGGTCTATTATGAGCAATGTGAAAATGGTGAATGCAAAAGGATTTTGGAGGATTTTATAATGATGAAAAAAAAATGTAAAAATATAGAACTATTCACATTTTATTATTATATTCTTTTTTATGTATATTTAGTGGCAGCGGCTCTAATTGTTTGGATAACGAACCACCAGGAGATATACCAATTCCTCCCCTTGATGTAGACTTATCGCGCATGCCTGGAGAAATCTGGGATGGAGACAAACAATGTAAAACTCATTATGGTGAAAATCACTGGCAATGCCCCCAACTACGGGTGAGCGTTTTGATATTCTTATCGGTAGCAAAACTAGATATGCAAAAGGAAAGGAAAGGAAGAAAAACATCAAGCAAGGAGTAGATTCGTTCACAAAAATGATGCACACGCGCTTAAAATAACGTACTCTTGGCAGGAAAATTTGTTCCCAATGTCTCATTTTAGCCACTTCCATGCTGATTAGCCGAAAATATCTTGGATTTACGCGCCCCATTTCTAGACATGTGCTTCTTTATAGGAGAGACCGTAAGTGGAAGTTTTATCCTCCTTTTTCTAAACTGCCCACACTTTCATGTCTGTCTATACTCTTGGTGTGTTATTATCGTATCAAGTCATCTATTCCGGGCGGCTAAAGATATAAAGATCACGGCAGTGGTAATGTTGGATTTAAGCAGCCAATGCTTTTGACAGCATTAATCACGGCATTTTACTGGAGGAGCTCAAACGGACTGATGTCACTGCCTCTGCTCTTAACTGGTTTACTAGTTATTTGTCCAACAGACAACGACGTGTGCGTATTAGTAACAAACGGTCATGTCCATTAAGTGCTATGCGTGGAGCGCTGCAGGGCTCCTTCCTTGGCCTACTGTTGTTCAATTTGTACATATTAAATGGTCTCCCGCCTGTCAGCACCGCCAGCAGAATCTAGTCTTACGTGGAGGATTCTATGCTCTACTAAGCATTCTCTAGCAAAGAAAACGTGATCTACAAAGAGTAGGCCTCATGGTGCTTCGCTAACCGTATGTTGAGAAATCCGGATGAAATCCTAGGTAAAGACCTTGTCCCGGTAGATGCAGTTTAAGACCTGGGTGTGTTAATCGATAAGCACCTTTTCGTTTAACGACCATACAAGTGCCTTAGTTCCAGACCTTTTTGGAAAATTTTGTGCGATCAGTAGAATTCGCCACCTGTTGGACTTCCCCTCCTTAATTTGTACGGTGAATGCGTTTGTTTTCAGCAAATTATTCTGTTGTTCTTCAGTTTGGGCAGGGACAAGTAAGGAAAATGTTGCCAGTCTTCAATTAGCTCTAAGCCTTGCAGCCAGAATTTTATCTGGTAAAAGGAAATTTGAGCACATAACTCCCACACTTAAACAACTTAAATTCTTGCCAGTGTAAGTTCTTCTTAATTTCAGGGATGCTTTCTTATTGTTTAAATCCACCAATGGCCTTGCTCCAACATACCTACAGCAATTAGTTGTCAAGAGATCTGACATTTACAACAGACATACATATAACACTGTCAAGCTCCAAGTTGCTAAATGCCGTACCGACCTTGCTCAGAACTCTTCTATGTATAGATTCACTACCCTCTGGAACTCGATGCCTACCAACATTGATTTCGTAACTCGCCACCCCTTTCCCAGTTTAAATCGTCGCTAAAACATTTTTTTATTGGAAAAGTGGCTCGAGGCTGAATATGTTTTTATTCTTTTATAGCTGGATATTTTTTATTTCTTATCTACTGTAAAACAATATGGTAAAATTTTTATACCTTATCGTAATTTTAATAGTCTTATTGTAATTTTTATACAATTGTAAATTAATTCTGAAAACCCTTTCGTTGGAGAATCAGTAAAGTCATTTGTATTTGTATTTGCATTTAGGATTGACCTATGACCTAAATGGAAATCACCTTTTGCAATTGTGCCCCAGCTAAAACTTACTTGTTTTTTAATACCTCAGCAGAACTGTGGACAATTGTTCTGTACATCAGATGGCTGGTCATGTTTGTCTAAAAACGCGCCTCCAGCTGATGGTACAACTTGTGGGCCTAGGAACGTGAGTGATATTTCCAATCAAACCTAACAAATGATAGCACTTGGCATTAATTTTATTCCTAATTTTTATAGAATCTGACCATTGAACGACTAAAGCCTTTAAAAACGATTATTGTAAGAAAAAATGAAGTTTATTGGGCTGGTCATGATGACATCTTTTTAATTCGTTTTCTTGGTCATAACCTGGCGGCACAACTATAAATTAAAAAATGTGTTCCTCAGAGCCTCAAAACTCGCTTACTTCCTTCCTCACGTCTTTCAATTTCAAACAGTCAACAACTACCCTTCATTTTACTCCACCCACCCGTTAAGCTCCGACGTAGATTTCAAAGTGCGTAGAAAATCACCCATATCTTCTTGCCTAGAAAATTCACTTTTGGCAGATCTACCAATTTTCGTTAACGAACCCTACCACGAGTATCCTGGTAGCCTCTTTTAACCCCGTCTGACACAACCAGAGATTCCTGGCCTAGGTTCTTATTAGCATAACTAGCGAAATGAAACAAAAGTTTCAAATATTAACCTGCAGAAGGTCAGCTTTCATTACAATTGCAACCATATTGCAGATTCGAGATAATTTCAACTGTAGCTTTAACACAGATTTTCACGCGTTAGCATTAACCATGATGAAATCTTGATCACTGTACTGTTTTTTCTGTATTGTAGAGCAGTTTAAATTTTGAGAATCGTGATCGTGATGTCCTTTCATTAAGTTGATACTTTCTTCCTTGCGCTGACTGAAAAAAAAAAAAGAAATTCGATGTGACTGTTTTGATAGACAGATGACTCACAGTCAAAAACTTACTTTTAAAATTTTCTAAGAAAAGGAAATTATTTGTTTAAAGGCATACTGAATGTGGTCTCAGTAGTTTATTCCCAGCTTAATTCCATTCCACGGTTGTCGCCCATTTTATTTCAGTGGTGCATTAAAGGAGAGTGCGTTGATAATGGCAGAGCACCAATTGACGGAGGCTGGAGCAAATGGTCAGACTTCTCTTCGTGTAGTCGCACCTGTGGGGGAGGTGTACAGCACAGAACAAGAGCATGCACTAATCCATCGTGAGTGGCACAAGACGACGACGGCAATGAAAACGTCGTTAAAAATATATCTTCGTCCTTTCAAACTTTCCAGAAATATACTAAAATTGTGATGTACGTGCAGAGCTGTGGTTTTGCCCATGAAACCAATTGTTTTAAGAGGCTGTCTTTGTCTTCTTTGTGGTTGCTTAGAAGGACGAAAACAACGTTTTGGGGAGACTATGGGCGCTTTCCATTTAGTCAAAATTTCCGGAATTTCCGGTTCGGCGGTAAATGGAACACGTTTCGTCGGTTCGTCCCACTGGAAAATTCCCAGAAAAAGTGGAAAATCTAAAAAGGTGGTCCCGTTTTCCCGGTTGGAATTTCCGAACGGAATGTCGTGTTCCATTGACGTTTCTTGTAGTTTGTACCAGTTCCAGGTCCACGGTCGGGCACCCGGCCACGTACCGGGGTTTACGACCAAATGGAACAACTTTTTACCAATCGGAAATTCCACTTTTGCTACCACCGAAATTTCCGGGTTTTTTTCGTAAATGGAAAGCGCCCTATATCAATAATAGCGATCATTGTGAAAGCACTACTTCTGGGATAGTATTCTACAGTAGACTCTAGTTTGATCGATACAATGGCTACAAATAGGTCACTACGATCCTTTTTTTTTTCAACTCATCAAAGCGTCATCACTCTTAAAACGCATGTGTTTTCCTAGTAAAGTTTATGAGCACGCTCCAACAGGTATCAAAACAAAACTTTTCAAACTGTTGTTTTTATTTTCTGAACTTGGCTGTCTGTCTATAAATATCGTTTCTGTTATGTTTGTTTTCTCAGTCCACAAAACGGGGGCATGGACTGCGTGGGATCAGAACTGGGAGAATGGCGAACTTGCAACTTTATGGTATGACTATGATAAATTTGTCTCAAATGATGCACATCTGAAATTCCTACAGTGCATAACATAACGTCGGAACGAAAATTTGTACAAAACAAGCTTCGAGAGATTTTTTGGGTTCCATTTTCTAAGACTTGTATGAATTTCATTAAGACCGGCGACTAAGGGCAGCTCAGTATAAATAACCCAGACAATTTTGGGGAAAGGCGTCATAGGCAAAGTTTACAGGACTATTAACTTACGGTGTACGTACTCTTACTTAGCCATTTTCAGATGCATTTGAATTACCTGCAGCAAATATAATATATGTACTAGGGTCAGGAGCAGGAGATCCAAGAGAGTTCTAGAACTGCTTTACAAGGAGTAAGAGCCTAAGGGTCTCGCCAGAACTACTCACCTGCCGACTATACCTTTGAAAGCACCCCTGTATCGCGAATATACCTCTGAGCGAATAAACCTTCTAATATATCTTTGAATTACCTTTAAATAGCGGGTCCCAATAAGCTACCCCTAGTCTCCGAGAATGGCTGGTTGGTGACACGACGCTAGACAAATTCTTACAATTAATTAGCCTCCTATCAAAGATGGAAGGATAATACTACACCTGATGCCATGCATGAAACCAGATTAAGCTTTGGTCATGGAATCCGACCATTAATCCTTTTCCTTTTTCCTGAACTAAGTGTCTTTACCTTGTGTGCTTCACCAATCGTTTCAGTACAAGCTGGTTTTATCTTTAGTTAGCAGGCATAAACTATAAACAGTTGCCTATGAAATGTTCCTACCATTTAAATCCTCATTAGTAAACCTGAAGCTTGTTTCATGTTTTTTCTTAGCACTGTACAAACACGTCCATTTCTTACAGACAGAAACAGTGCATGGAGAGAAATGAAAATTATGTACCCTATTACCTACAATCAGGTAATTAACTGATGAAGTCAAGTCAAATGGTGCCGTGGTGTATACGCTCATGTATAAACCACCTTCCTGCAGACAGATTTGTTGGACGTGACGTGAACTGCTAAGTTGGTGATCAAGAACTAAAGTCTTTCTCTCCTCCGAAAACACTACCTCCATTTAAACAGAAAAAACTTGTTGACTAAAAACTACCAACATGACGGCTTTTAGTCTAGTCCCCGGGCGTTCTCTTTTGCCTTGTTGTCGGCTCATAAGTTTGGCAAAAGGTAGTCGAGAGAACGCGTTTCGGGGGATCCTCTCTTGGTAACGTCACAGCTCACGGTAGAATCCAGGTTTGGCTGAGCCGACAAAGCGTAGGGACTTAGCTGGGCCACCTTGTCACGTGGCTGCAGACAAAGAATAACTTATATTTCACTTTTAACTGTTCGTGGAAAATAAGAAGTTAGACGTATTATTCACGTAAAGAAGTTAGTAAGATAAAAGCAAGCATATATAGTACCAATCCAAAAACGTCCTCGGATTACCAGTACGTCAAAAGTCGTGGTATTTAAACTGCTGATAAAAAAAAATCAATCTGTTATGTATTATTTTTCTATTCATGTCTAGACCTATGCGGCCTTTGGTGTCGAATCGATTATACAGTGCGGAAGTTCGGTAATGTAATAGACGGCACCGGAGCAACAGCATCTACAAATAACTTCGATATATGCATCCAAGGAAGACAAGAGGTCAGTGCATGTTTCTTAATACGTTTTATTACGTAGTGTTTCTCTGGAAATGTCAATTTCCCACCTGCAGATTTATTTATTCTATAATATTTTGATACTTCGTCTTTATCAACCTCACTTAATGCCGTCAGCAATATATGACTTTTATTTAGGGCAGTATTTTTACGACATAATTATGATATTTACCCTCTAAGGTACACGCCTCCTAAGAAATTATTACCGTCCCCAAACGTTCCCCAAAACAGCTTCATTTATCTCAAATTCAACTTCAATGTCTTACACTTTATTTTGAAACTCTCCCTTGCTACAGCAGCCCAAGTTTTCGGTCCAGACTAGACAATAGTAGTATAGTATGGTCCCAATTAACCCCATTTGTGCAGAAATATGATTTAATACATTAATACATAAGCGCCGATGACGTCATACCGGTGATAAGTTTCTCATTACGATGACGTTACATTCTTCTCTTCTGATACCTCGTTATGCAGGGCATAAATTCAATCTACCATGACTTAGGCTATGTTCATACTATAGCGGATAGCCTTTCGTTCCAACAGGAAAAGCCACAGAACTTGTCACAGAACTGGTACAAGTCGTCCACACATATTGAACATTGTGCCGGAGCAGTTGCCCGTGAGGGTTTGGTTCTAGAAATCCCAATCCTCACACCTGAATATTTGACTTCCGCGGCAGTGGTTTCAGTCCTTTTTGCCTACTCATTCACTTTTATTTCGGCCCGAATACTTGTTCATATTGTACCAAAGTGTGGTACAGAACGTATCCGATATATGCCACGCTCCACTCTCGAGATCTTCACGGCGCAGCTTCTGTATGTTTCAGAAATTGCTCGGACGTCACCAGAAGCCCTAGCTATCCGATGTTATTCTCGTGCCGGCGCAAAAAGTATCCGGTGTAGTGCGAACGTAACCTTAAGCCTTAGTCACCAATGATAACATCCTCAGATGGCATTACTTTATTACAAAAGGGACATAGGCAACAAATCTGGTGGGAGAACGCTTTTCGAAAGAATTTTCTTCCTGGGGCAGAAACAGCTTGATGATAATTACAACCAAAACATATTACGGTCGACTTGATAATATTCTTATCCAGCCTATGAGAATTAATAGTATTTTTCACTTGCAACGAAGGCACGTCTGATAGCGACAGCGCACTTAACCCAAGCAGTCTCTTTTAACATCCATATTGTACTAAAAGTGGCAACAAACCGGCTCCACATTTTATGAAATTTAATTCCATTGTATATCTAGGCCGTGGGTTGTGATCACTTGCTGAATTCAAACAAGGTGATTGACCGATGCGGTGTGTGCGGTGGCAAAGCAGACTCGTGCATTGATGAAAATGCACATTTCATAGAGCAGATATCCAGTAAGTTTAACTAGTGTGTAGGTAATGGCGTAATAATGTTTTGTGTATACAATATCACAAAATGTTAATAATCAATACTGGCTTTACAGTCATAGAGAACCTCGCACGTTTGGCAAATGCAGCGAATAGCTGATAATGTAAGGGAAAAAGATGCTCACGCGCATGCTTTTAAAATTAAAGAGCAACAACAACCGGCCCCCACCAAAAAACTTCTGTCTGAAAGCAATCTCTTTGAAACAACTATTGCTGTTAGCGATAAAACGCCGCTTGTTAGTTCGTAAGTCAAGAATAGATTCTGACTTTGACTTTAGTGGGCTTTTTCAATGCCGCCAAGAAAAAATATCAGTTGATCTGTTCTATAATGACGATAAGGAAGATGATAAAAAAATTCATTGATTAATTTTTGTGATTATGATCGTTAATTTATTATTATTATTTTTAACAGATGCCGGGGAATCAGCTTTAATAAAGAAATTACCACCAGGTACAACTTACGCCCACTTTCGGAAAAGGAGTGGAGCTACAGCTAATGTAATAGGTAAGAATAAAATCTTGATCTAGGTCAAAATAACATTCCACTAGCTATCAGAGGGTCGAGACAAAATTTTAATCGTTGAAGAACAGCGACCTCTTGCCGGCAAATATTACTGCAAGCAACGGACCTCAATGCCAGTTTTAACAACAACAATTGTTATAGCTAGAATTTTTTTTCGACAGCGTGCGCTTTGATTGGTTTCTTCGAGGTCACAAGACACCTAACAATGAAACTGTTTCCCGCCAAAAGCTGTGAGCGGGAAACATTGCAAAATCTATGACGTCAGAGGGTAACAGTGCACTGTTACCCGCGAATGTTACAAAGAGGTTTAATGAATTTCCAGCTTCAAAATTTCCAGCTAATATATATAACAAATCACTTAAAGACTGGTCCCCTGAGAAACAGTTAATTTTGATTCCCTCTAACCTCTTGAGATTCTCGGGAAACAAAATGAACTGTCTCCCAAGGGACCAGTGTTTGATTTTGACCTCTTTCCCAGGACAAGCTACTGATGTTTATAAAATGTATAGTAACCAAGTTAGGCCATAACTCGGAGACAAAAAATTCATCTCCCCCAATATATCTGAATCAACATTTCCTTCTGTCACACCTTCTTTTCTCTCTTTCCTAATTTTTTTTTTTTCGCGATTTCTTCTCGCTGATAACAGCCAAGCCTTACCAAGTCATTAATTGGTTGCTACACTCGCATGCTGCGGGTGGCCTTGAATGTTTCCTGGCAAAGCCACATCTCCAATGAAGCTCTTCATGGAGATTTGCAGCAAGTAGGATGAGGCTCGCTGGGCATTGTCAAAGACATCCCTACCTCCCAGCACACAAACTCGTCCTTTGGGACCCAACCCACGGCCATAAAAGTAGAGGACGACTAAAATCAACTTTAGCTGAATAGATATCTTAGAGGGAGACACTGATCTAGACTCTAGTCAGGAGTTACAGGCACTGAGGCACGATCGAAGAGTTTGGAA